AAAGAGCCGTTTCATCACAATTAAATATATCTTCGGGTTTCCAATTCTTCAACAAGTCATGTAATTTCAATCGTTCGTGGTTGTAATTTTTTTCCTGTAAAGATAGTTTTTTCTTGTAAAGATAGTTTTTCTTGTTACTATTCGAGTTCCCTATGATGATTAATTTAATTGGTCCGTGTTTCTGAAAGCGGACATAAGACACCCGCAGATGAATGAGACCATAATCAATTATTTCTGATGGGAAAATACTTTTTCGGATACGTAGATTGCCACTTGAATACTTTCCCCCCCCCCCTCTGAAACCTCTGAACTAAATTCAAATACACTCTTTCTATATTCATCATTTCAACGATATCCGTCTCTCTCTCTCTCTCGGGCTGGATCTACAAAAATCACCGTTTTTCGAAAATCTTAGTTATGAGCCAAGTCTAGTTGATTTTACAGTCTTCACCGACGTAGGAAAAGCTCCAGACAGCACCAAATATCCTCACGCAGCACGTTGGTACGCTCACATATCATCCTACGCTGGTTCACTCCCCAAAGGCGAAATCCCTAGCGATATCCCCAGTGCGGACGATGATGACGATGACGACGATGAAGACGTAGATCTCTTTGGATCCGATGAAGAAGAAGACGCCGAAGCCGAAAGATTGAAAGCACAGAGATTGGCCGAGTATCAAGCAAAAAAAGCCGCAAAACCCAAAGTTATTGCCAAGAGTATGGTTACATTGGACGTGAAGCCGTGGGACGATACAACGAATATGGAAGAGATGGAGAAATTAGTCAAAGGGATTACAATGGAGGGTTTGGTTTGGGGAGCATCGCAACTAGTGGCTGTAGGATATGGTATAAAGAAATTGCAGATTAACTGTGTTGTAGAAGATGACAAAGTTGGCGTTGGTAAGCAATATTCGGTTGGGATCGGGGGTGAGGTCGGAGTGAGTGTGTTGCAAAAGAGAAAGAGAAAGAGAGAGAGAGATAAAGGGAGAAAGGCCGAGAATGACCGAGAATGTGTGATATCTCGGACGTTGCATAGTATATTGATTCGACATATATTATGTTATCACTCTCCGTTTACAGCTTGCTATCATCATATATATATATATATTGATACATATTCTTGTCTATTTTGTAGATGATCTGGAGGAGAAAATTACTGCGTTTGAAGACCACGTGCAGAGTGTTGATGTAGCTGCATTCCAAAAGTTGTAAACAGTTCCCTACTATTGACGTGTGTATTTCTCTAATGACAATAAATATCGATAAACTCCCAATGTGAAGAATTAAAATTTTGACATTGTCGGATTTGCTGTAAAACTATGACATCACACGTTATGGTTCACATTCACCGATGCAACTTTAGGTCTTTCTGTCTTTCCTACTGATAATTTGTGACTGCGCAGCTGGAAAATAAACACTTTTCAAAGCGGTTGAATGTTATCTGCCAAACAAATCGGAATTCACTAATAGTAATTAAAAAGTCACTTTAGTACTACGAGATGTATTGCAGCTAACGTGATCGTGATTTGTACAACGTTTGTATAATAAATTGTAAGAAAGAACAATAGCTGGAGTCTAGGTTAAGAAAAAAACCATATTATATTTTACAATGCGCAAAATGATTAAACGAAAAGAACGTGCTCGAACCTTTTACCATAGTTGGCAAGTGCGCTTGTATAGTCATTGCACATACTAACGTTTTCACTGGTAATTGAAATTGGCGCTGCTGCTTTGTTCAACATTACACATGGCTTATATATTAATATCTAATAAACTGGTATACATATGTTTGACGTGTACATGTATCTAATCTCGTATGGTACGTGGGGCGTTCAAAAAGTTTTGACACAAATGCTTATAACATTTTTATTTACATAATAAATTTTAATTTAACTGCCCCATTCCTTCAAATACTAGTTTTACGGCACGGGCAAGGTCTTGAATCCTCTCAAACCGCTTTCCACCAAGTTCTTTTTTAATTTTTGGAAA